GCTCCTGAGCACAGCAGGGCTGGGACCCTTACACAGAAAGAACAAAATGCTGACATTACTACATGCCATGAAGCTATACAAAGTAAATAAATGGACAACAGGACATGGTCAATTTCAGAAGCAGACCAAGAAATACAAGCCTGACATACATGGGAAATCCATGAGGTCTCCCCCAGCACAACTGCACCAAACAGACAACTTGGCCTTCAAGTATTAGTTACTGTGTAAAATGAGGAGAACAGTAACTCTCGCCCCATAGCACTCCTGCAGAATTTCAAGAGTCAGAACTGAGATCAAATAAACACTTAAGAACTAGGATCTGCTAGTTTTAAATAGTTAAACAATTTAGAAAGAAATTGCATCCTATGTCTTCCTCTATACAGAAATTAGTTCTGGGTGAATTCAAGAACAGAAGATAAAAATTCAAGAAAATGTCAGAATCAGCTTGCCATAGAAGCCTGATAACCTGGAACCTATGTAAACAGATGGAACAAGAAAGTCAACTCCACAAAGTTGTTCTATGACCTCCCCTTGTGCACCTATGTACATAAGTGTAGATACACGCACTCACACACACACACCATATACACACACAACACCAACAAAATTAAAATATAAATAAAATGAGCTTTGATCCTCCAAAAAGAGAAAGAAAAAGTCAAGGCTAGGAACACGGTCTGAGCAACCCATGTAGTTTGTAACAACCAGCGCTCACCAAGAACGCCATTCCGCACATCTCTGAGACATTTGAAGGGAGAAGAACTTCCAAAAGGTAAAAATGACAAGAACTGAAAACAGAGAAGAGCTATCCTACAACCCCTAAAACAGGTCAGGGACTCCAGTAGAGAGCCAATTTGACCCTAACTCCATAAGACATTATGTCCTAGTAACCTTTTCAGAAGCAAAGAATGCTAAACCCAGGCCCAAGGTTTTCAGAATTACACCTATCAAATACACTATGTTCAAACAAACTGAGAAGGAAAACTTCCTGAGAGACCACACTATGGAGATCAAGTTAGAGAAATCCACAAACATAAGCAGCAAGATAGACAAGGATAGTCAGACAGATAGATAGCCAAATTGTCCTTGTCTACTAAGGGCAGCATGGTTTGACAAGGTAAGAGCTGGTAAACCAGTCAGGAAGAAAGGCAAGCAGGCAAGAAAAAGAGAGAAGGAAAGAAGGGAGGGAAGGCGAGGGAGGGGGAAGAAAGGGAGAGATGGGGGGGGGGACACAGGTAAAAAGAAAATTAAACAACTTAAATACTCTAAAAAAGAATGTTCTGATATAATCAACAGTAAAAATAAAAGAAGTGTGTACAAGAACCAGTCTTAAGCAGGGCGCACATCCGCCTTTAGTTCCAGCACTCAGGAGGCAGATCTCTGTGAGTTTTAGGCCAGTTTGGTTCACAAAGCAAGTTCCAAGACAGCCAGGACTGATACACAGAGAAACCCTGTCTTAAGAAACAAAAACAAGCCGGGCCGTGGTGGCACACATACCTTTACTCCCAGCACTTGGGAGGCAGAAGCAGGCGAATTCTGTTAGTTCAAGGCCAGCCTGGTCTACAGAGCTAGTTCCAAGACAGGTTCCAAAGCTACAGAGAAACCCTGTCTCGAAAGGAAAAAAACAAAAACAAAATGATAAATCTTAGCAGTATAAGGAGTGAAAACCTTCCAATTGCAACAAAAGGTTATGTACAATAAGATCCCTTTCCTTTTTTTTTTGGTTTTGGTTTTTTGTGGGTTTTTTTTTTTAGTTTTGTTTTTTTTTTTTCCAAAACAGGGTTTCTCTGTAGCTTTGGAACCTATCCTGGAACTAGCTCTTGTAGTCCAGGCTGGCCTTGAACTCACAGACATCTGCCTACCTCTGTCTCCTGAGTGCTGGGATTAAAAGCGAGCGCCACCACTGCCCAGCTTTTTTTTGTTTTTGTTATTTTTTTTTCAAGAAAGGGTTCTTTGTGTAACAATCCTGGCTGTCCTGGAACTCACTTTTGAAATCAGGCTGGCCTCGGACTCACCAAAATACACCTGCCTCTGCCTCCCATGAGCTAGGATTAAAGGTATGCACCACCGCCGCCCAGGAGAGTCCTTTCTTTTAACATAGAAAGATCTAAATGCACTGTTTAAAAATATACACACGCAAGACAACACTTCAACAAGACTTAAAGCCTGTACATCAGGCAGATGTTTCCCTTGAATCTGGCAGAGCACTAAAATTAGGAGGCTAAATGGGACAACCTCCTATCTCCTAAATTGGGGTGGTAGATTTAAATGTGTTTGTTTTCATTTTTTAATACATCTTTTTATGTGTGTGGGGGGGATAGGTAGCTGTATATGTATGCGCACCACATGCATGTAGGAGCCTGAAGAACTCAGAAGAGGCATCAGATTCCCAGGAACTGGAATTACAGACATTGAGTCACCATGTAGGTGTTGGGAACTAAACACAGGTCTTTTACAAAACCGTAAGTGCTCTTAACTGCTGAGCCATCTCTCCAAGACTCATTTTATTTTCACTATAATGCATAACTTTTAATGCATTCTTACATTTGTGTGTGGTGAGGGGGAGGGATGGAGGGAGAGAGGGAAGGAGGGAGGGAGAGAGAGGTCCCATATGTGGAGGTTGTTATGCCCAGATCAGAGTCCCCCCAAAACCAACTAGGAGACCAAGTCCTGTATGTTAAAGCAAAGAGCCTTCATTCTTACACAAGTTTGCAAACTTGGACTCTCCGTGTGTCCAGCATATGGGAATGATAGAGAAGGCCCCCAAGCTTAGTTGGGGTTGGGTTTTTATAGTAGCAAAGGTGGGGGTGAGGGATCCCTAAGGTACAGGACCCTGATTGGCTGGCTGACATTTGTCTAGGGGTGTCCTGGTGAAAAGCCAAGGGTGTGGGCTGGCAGGTGACCCTATCTACAACGTTGGACCGTTAGGAATTTCCTTTGGAAGGTCAGTTCCTGGGTGGGTAGTGCCTGGGTGGTCTCAGTTTGTGGTCTTTACAGGAACCAGGTATTGCCCTTGGGTAAACTACTGAGACTCAGGCCTCCCTTGAGCTGGTCAAGGCTAGGTCCTACAGAGGTCAGAGGCTCAGTTCTCTCTTTCCACCACGTGGATCCCAGGGATCAAACCCACACAGACTTTGGTAGCAAGTGCTGTTATCCCCTGAGCCATTTTGCTGAGCCCAAACTGTAGAGTTTCGATTCCTTTTGTTTTTTGAGGCAAGGTCTCCAGAGCACTGGAAGTGCTGGGAAGACAGGAAGGCATCATCAGCCTGACAACTGTTATCTTTGTGTGGAGCTGAGTACTAAACCCAGAGCAAACTCTGCATAAGGACTACTTGCCCTCAGTATTTTGCATATTACATACATAGGCACAGACACTCAATATGCGATCCTAAAAAGCAACAACTCAATATGAAATAAAAGCAGCTACATAGTGTTCAAGGCTCTATGACACACCTTGTCTCAAACAAAATAAAGATACGTAGGGGCTAGAAATTTTTGACTTTGGAATGTATAACTTTCCTTCAAGCCCGTTTTAATATCCAAGGTGTACATCTAGGTATCTAAATGCACTAATTACTGCTACAGCAAACAATAATACAACCACACTGTGGTTTTCTGCTTTTAGAACCAACCTATAAACAAAGCTCAGGACATTTAATTATGGCTCCCTAATACATTGCCAATGCCACCAAACCTTACTTCGTTTTTTAGAAGTTGTATAACTTCATAATACATTGCTATAAAAATCTTAATTTATAAAAGAAAAATACCATTCTTCAAGCTAAATTGTCAACGCTACAAATTTTTATTTTAAAATACAGGAACTGGGGAGTGGCTCCTTGGGTTATAAGTTCTTGTTATGCAAACATGAGGACCTGAGTTTAAATTTTTAATCACATAAAAAGCCAGGCATGGATGCACGTACCTGCAATCCCAGAATTAGGGGATGAAGATAAGTGAATCCCCAGCGCTCACTGGCCCGCTAGCCTAACCTAAAAGGAAAGCTTGGGGCATTCCGGTGCTGGCGGCTCCTGTGCGCGGGTCAAACGGCCGGAATCCGCCACCACCCGGGCCGGGGCCGGATGAAGGGAGTGCGGGCGCGCGAGGTAAGGGACCACGCCTCGCCGCCACCCGCAAGAGAACTTTAGAACGCGGGTGTCTCACCTGAGGTCGGCGACCGTTCCGGACCGATTCACAACGTGAAGATCCCGCGCGCTTCTACCTACTGACCAATCGTAGAACGAGTTGCGCAGAGTGACAGGCGACACGAACCAACCAGACACCCGTACGGGCGAGCCTCAGTGAAAGCGAGCGGCTGAGCGCGCGCAACGGTTGCTAAGGACTCACCAGCCACCACCCTACCGCGCCTCCAAAGAGCCAAAAGAGACCCGTTTCTCTGTCGCCCTCCCACCCCACCCCCAAGGGACTGCCGTTTACTCCCAGAGCGGACCAAGAACGGTGAGCGACGCGCAGCCCGCCTTTCGACGGCCACATTCTCAAGGAGGGCGGGGGATGAGCGGAAGTGGACGACGCGGAGTGAGGTGGGAGCGGCAAACGTGCGCCCCCGAGCCGGACCGCGGCCACCCCTCCCTCCTGCTCTGAGCATCCGCGAAAACCGGCCCGTGGCACAAGTCAGTCAACGCGCAGGCGCGGAATAAAGCCGTCTTCCCGGCCCACCGACCCGTCGTGCAGACACACATCAGCGAGGCTCCCGAGGTCGCGGATGCAAGTCTCACCTGCCTCATCTGTGGCCCGTTGCGCTCTCCTGACCGCCGTACCTCCACGCTTCCGAAAGTCGACATGGTGGTTTGGGCGAACCCGCAAGTTTGAAGTAGCTCCCATGCTTCCTGATGCCTTGCCGGGAAGTCGCCCTGCTCGCCTAGACGCCTCTCACTCCTCTTACACCTAGCTCAGGTGGAGCCGGCTCCCATGGGAACTACAACTCCCATGAAGCACTGCGTTCACGCAAGCGCGTCAACTCGCGCTTCTATGCTCGGTTCCATTGGCTGACTGACAGGGCCGGGAGTCCCGATTGGTCCATGGCCTGAGGCGACAGATTCCGGAAAGGGGTAGAGCAGCCAATATGGCGGCGGAGCGCGGCGCTGGGCAGCAACAGTCGCAGGAGATGATGGAGGGTGAGCGGCCCCTGCGGGCGACCGGGGAGCGGCGAGCTTGGGCTTGGGCGGGCACAGCCTCTTGCCGGATCGGAGCTCGGCCTCCAGCCATAGCCTCGGATCTCTGTCAGCTGCCAACCCGGCTGGACGGGGCGGAGAGGCTCAGAGCCCGAGAGCCCCGGCCGGAGGGCGGCAGCGGGCAGGGAAGACCGGAGCCCCGGGAACAACGTGGCGCGAGCCCGCCCAGGAAAGGGGGACGGACGAGGAAGCGGCGGCTATGGGAACCTAGTCTTAAAGCTCCAAGATTGACAGACGAGGAGGCGGGGGACTGTCCTCTGTCAGCTCATTGGGAAACTGAGGTTTCAGGCTTGGGGACCTGCCAAGTCCATAGTTGTTCACGAGGCATGGATGGAAGAGTCTGCTCGGGAAGCGAATGGGTTGTGGCAGAGTGATGGGTGGCAAGGAGGTCCGGAGATTGTTTACGAGGCGGTGTCTTGTTTTCTTTACGTTCAGGATCTTGGACTAAATTCAACTTTCTTCCCTTTCTCATTGTGTTGAGTTGTGTCATCATATACATACATACATGCATACATGCATACACACATATATATTACATATGTGCATGTTTTGTACACAGTTGTTAGATACATAATCGTTACATGTGTGCATATTTATGTGTGTGTATGCATATATATAGCTGTGTGTGTGCGCGCACACACACAGGCGTATACTACCCATTGTAGCATCCGGCGAATCTGAACCCTTAAATGCCTTTTAAAGCCTCCTCTATTTTGGTGAGTTTTCCTTCTGGAAGAACAGTCACGCAGTCACTCTTCTGAGAAGATTGCTAGGGAAGAGGGTTGCAGAGCAAGGAACAAGTGTGTTGGAAGAAAAGTCCAGTGTGTTTAAGAGTGGTGATGCTGCCCTGGGTTGGGCTTTGAAGGATCTCTAGATGTCATCCAGGCTGGGGACAGGTAGGGAGGACCATTCCAGAGAAAGGAAACCCAGTCCAAAGCAAAGGAGTATGGAAAAGAGTTTGACCTAAATTAACAGTCAGATGAGACGGGGGTTGGGAAGAGCCGGCAAGGCTTCCCAGAAAAGATTATGGAGAGCCTAAAAAGGGAGTCATGCTGGGGCTTTCTTTTACCTTTTCAGAGCAAGGAAATGTTTCTTCCTATCTCACCCTTCCCTCCTCCAGTACCTTTCTCCCCCTTCTTTCTCTGTTTCTCAGTAAAGTGCAAATACAAAAGCCAGGCTTTTCTCTCTTCCACTCCCACACCTGTTGTTACCAGCTGACACTTGTATTTCTATAGCCTCGTGTCTTTTGGCGGGGAGGGGTTTTGGGTTTGGTTGGTTGGTTGGTTGGTTTTTTGTGGGGTTGGTTTGTTTGTTTTAAGATAGGGTCTCACTATGTAGCTTTGTCTGGCCTGGAGTTTGCTATGCAGACCAGGCTGACCTAGAACTCAGAGATCTACCCATGTCAGTCTGCCAGAGTGCTGGAATTAAAGGCATGCACCTCCATGCTTAGTGAGCTCCATGTTTTGTCACCTTCTCTGTCATGGCCAATACCTTAAATCAGACCTTCCTCCTCCTGATATATTTTCCTTTTTGTTAGACTGTCATCCCCAGGGCCATGCAGCACACTGTCCCAAACTGTAGAACCTCTACTGACCTGAGGATAAAGGCACAGGTTGCAGCAACTGTCCCTTCTGTCCTCTGGTTCCTCAGAGACTGTTACACTGAACCTAGTTTCCCTAATCCTGGATCGCAGACTGTTATGTGCCTCTTGGTAACTCATACATTCTCCATGTCCTTCACACAGGCCACTCTTGTGCCCTTTCTCGTTTGGTCCTGATGGAGGTCTGGGGAGTGTACTCCCCTAACTCTTTTCTACAGATACGAAAACTGAGGTTTAGAAAAGAAGATCATTCGTCAGAGCCACGTGTCATTGTTGCTTTCTCACAGCCTGTTTATTTACTCTGAAAAGCTTTGCATTGGTAACATTGTCATGTGATCTTTTCACATTAGTAGGTTACCTGGCATCTGGCACTTGAGACAGATTCTCATTTTCATTGGAGCTCCTCCCTGCCCCCAGTCTGGTTTTAGCTAGCCTTGATTTCTTTCAGAATGTGGGGCCCTGTAAATTGAACCAGTTTTTCATGGCCAAATGGATAGTGGGACATCAATGAAGGTATGTGGTAGAGGGATCACAGTGGTCCCCTCTCGTGGTGGACATCAGGTCAGCTGGGAGAGTCACCTGGAAGGTACTTCACTATGTGGTGCTGTTAGTGTTCCTGATCACAGGTGGCCTAGAGGCTTTTGGAACACTTGGCAGTTCTTTCCAAGCTCTTGGAGGGGAAGAACAGCTTGTTAGTTGTGCCCATGTGTCCTCTCGGGTCCTGTCTCTGTCTTAAATAGTGCTGGGACATAGAAGACATTCAAGTGTTCATATAAACTGAATTCAACTATTTCAGAAGCTGAGTTACAACTTGTGGTAATCTGTTCTCTGTTCCTCAAATGGTCACATGAAGTGGATGTGAATTCTCACTGATGTGTTTGGGTTCAGTTGACAGGCGGGTTGAATCTGAAGAATCAGGTGATGAGGAAGGGAAGAAGCACGGCGGTGGCATCGTGACGGACCTCAGCCAGCAGAGCCTGAAGGATGGAGTAGAACAGGGGGCGGAAGACCCAGAAGGTACTGGGCATGGTTAACCTTGAACTCACTATTGAGGGGGGAGTGTGCTGTTGAAGATTGCTGCTTCTTTGCGCGTGATGTCTCCTCGTGGAAGCAGTTGTGTTCTTCAAAGGTCCCCAGTAGATTGGATAGCTGGGCATGCTGGCAGAGGACAGCCTGCTCTCTGCGGTGCTGCCTCAGCAACTAGCGGATTTACATTTATGGGTAGAGTAGATCCATTTCTGCTGAAGAGACAGTGCTACTACTGATGATATTGGCACTAATGTGTCACCTAGAGCAGAGCCAGAAAATGGTTTTTTAATCCTTTACTCAGAAAGTAGAATTTGAAGAGAGCATAGTGATTTACTGCTATGCTTCTGTACTGCCCCAGTGATGAGAAATCACTTCTTGTCCATCCTTGACATTTCTTATTTGAGACAGGATCTCACTATGTAGCCAGGTTGGTCTTGAAACCATTATGTAGCCCAGGCTGGCCTCAAACTCAGAGATCTGCCTACCGCTGCCTCCTAAGGATATGTGCTACTGTGCCTACATCCACCTCGATATTCATCTAGGCCTGAGAGACACCTGTTACAAGCGTAGGTGTTAGGGAGATCACTCCATTTGGAACTGAGCAGCTTCCTATGGTGGTTTTTTGGTTTTTTTGTTTTTTTGTTTTTGTTTGTTTGTTTTTTTGCTTTTTTGAGACAGGGTTTCTCTGTGGTTTTGGAGCCTGTCCTGGAACTAGCTCTGTAGACCAGGCTGGTCTCGAACTCACAGAGATCCACCTGCCTCTGCCTCCTAAGTGCTGGGATTAAAGGCGTGTGCCACCACCGCCCGGCTTCCTATGGTGGTTTTATATCCTCCTCAGTAATGGCCTATGCTTACATGTTTGCTCAGAAAATCAGTTTACATGGAAAAGAATGACAGAAAATATATAACGACAGGAAAATGTCTCAGCTGAATTGTTGGGGGGGACAAATTTGTAAGTAGGATGTATCTTAAAATATGACTTTTAGTTAAAAAGCATGAGTATTTAATTTTACCTGCTTAAAAAGAAAACACATTAGCATTGCTGAGGATCTCTTTTAACAGAAGACTTGAGAGGAAGCTGCCTCTTATGATTTTTCAGATTTGTATGGATTTTTCAGGTATTCATAATTATGCATTACCTTTATAAAAATAAATTTGCAAAAACATAGCTACTTTTTAAAATAGCATTGCTCACTGTGTGCCAGCAAAGATGATTGGTAACTATGGTAACCAAATTTTAAGGCAAAAGGAGATTACCACAAAAGTACCCACCACAGTTAGTTTGGAACTTCAGAGCTGATATTCTGGAGGTGATGTGGGTGGATAAAGCAAATGGGCGCTGTCATCATCATTTGATTTAGTCACGGAAGGGCTGAGATCTATGCCACTGAAATATTAGGCTACCTGGAAGACTTGGAAGTTAGAGCAGCATGATCCTAGGATTTGTTTCCTGTTTGTTACTGTACTGGGTTTCTCACTGTAAAAGAACTCTAATGTGTGATAGGTGAGGAGAGTAGAAGTCCCATGTTAGCCAGAGATCCCTACTGCAAGGCAGGCCAGTTGGGCTAGAGCCCAGCTTACTAAAGTCCATGCTCTTGCCTCCAGGTGACTAGAACACATAGTAATTCTCTGGGAACATGTATTTCTACTCCTTAAAAATCTGGAACTGCTCATACTTACATAAGTTTCAGCAGAAGACATTCAAACGTCAATCATTACCTTCCTATTTTTCCTAACTTATGTATGTTTATATACATTTCACATTAATGAGGTATATATGTATACCGGTATGTATGTATGCATGTAGATGCCAGAAGACAGACTCAGGTGTTGTTGCCCAGTTTACTGTTTTTGAGACAAGGTCTCTTACTGGCCTAGAAATGGCCATTTACACTGACTGACTGCAGCAAGCCCACATGTTTGAACTTCTCAAGTACTGGGGTTACAAGTATACCATCATGCTCAACGTTTGTATGTGTGTTCCAGAGATCTAACTTAGGTCCCGGGCTTACACAACCCCTTCACTGAGTTATCTCCCAACCCCTCTCCCCCAGCTTTTTTTCTTCAGTACTAAGGATTGAACCCAGGGCCTCCTTACACCTGCTATACAAGACTCTACAGCTGAGCTATATCCCTAGACCCTTACTTTAAAAATTGCAACTATGATACTTTCAAAAGTTTGTTCCGCCAGGCGGTGGTGGTATGTGCCTTTAATCTTAGCACTCAGGAGGCAGAGGCAGGTGAATTTCTGTGAGTTTGAGGTCAGCCTGGTCTACAAGAGCTAGTTCCAGGATAGGCTCCAAAGCTACAGAGAAACCCTGTCTCGGGGGGCGGAAAAAAAAACACCAAACCAGAAGTTTGTTCCAGTTGGTAACTTTATTCCAGGTTAAACTGGTGTTTCAAGAAGGGACAGGAACAACCCATGCTGGATGCTGTTGTTAGACAGGAAATTTTGGGCTGTGCAGCACATATCCTGAGAAGCCTAGGAGAGCCCCATTTCTAACCCAGTGCGGCTGCTGGTTGTGCCAACTTTTAGTCTTCGTGTCTGGTTTGTACATCAGTGGCCTGGCTACTTGCCTTAGCTACAGTGCCTTCCTGTCACAACTTCCTGAGCTCATGGATGGTGAATTACTGCTTTTTTTTTTTGAGGATAAGGGGACTCTTTTTTTTTGTTTGTTTTTGTTTTTGTTTTTTTTTTTTTTGGTTTTTCGAGACAGGGTTTCTCTGTGGTTTTGGAGCCTGTCCCGGAACTAGCTCTTGTAGACCAGGCTGGCCTCGAACTCACAGAGATCCACCTGCCTCTGCCTCCCGAGTGCTGGGATTAAAGGCATGCGCCACCACCGCCCGGCAAGGGGACTCTTGTAATGTCTTCTTGTTTGTCTAATTCCTTTTATTTAATACCAGATTAGTTCATATGCTATAAATTATAGGTAAACAACAAAAGTAACATTTTAGTTGGGTACTGTTGACTACTGTAGAGAAGACATCATGGAAAGTCAGTGAAGTGAATGGCCATGGAGGGCCAGTTCTTTGTTATTAAGGTGGTCCCTTGCCACATGCTTCTCTCTAAGGCCTCCAATGAAGAAACAGGCTGACCAGCACATAGTCTGCTAATGTTTGGAGGAGCCAGATATGGGCTGAGGTCAAGAGTGTGTAAGCTGGCCCTACTATAGATGCAAGTGCGTGTTTGCACTAAGGAAAAGAAACACAGGAAAAGGGAGCCTAGGAAAAAAATGGTAATAAGTGATAAGAAGTTAAAGGAAATAGAGGCGAGAGTATTCTGGGACAAAACAGTTTAGACTCAAAGAAGCAATCAAAAAAAGCAGTCTGTTTCCTTCCTACAGAAAGTTTCAAGATAAAAAATGTCTTAAGGGAAACACCATCTATGACGCCATGCAGCTAGGTGTGGTGGTACTTATCTATCATCCCAGCATCTGGGACCTGAAACATTAGTATTAAAAATTCAAGGCTAAGGGCTGGAGAGATCGCTCGGTTGTTAAGAGCACTGGCTGCTCTTCCAAAAGACATGGATTCAATTCCCAGCACCCACATGTCAGCTCACAAGCACCTTGTAACTCTAGGTCCATGGGACTTTCTACTGGTCTTTCAATTGGTGGACCGGTGTACCTGTAGACAAAGCACCCGTGTACATAAGATAAACATTTAACCAAGTTCAAGGCCAGCCTGAGCTACAGAATGAAACCGAGGCTGAGAAAAGGGGTGGGGCAGGAATCCAGTCAAAATAGCTTTATTTGGATGTCAATGGCTACAAAATAAGGCGAAAAACTATAAAACCACTAGGGAAAGCAGATGACACTTTGGTAATAAAGGGAAATGCTGTTAATCTCAAGTGTTTTGGGGATATGTGCACATGTATTTGCATTCTTCTGTTCCTTAATTCTTTCAGCATTATTTTTAATCAGGTTCTGATGAACTGCAAACGGGGCTTTCATATGAGACTCTCCACTGCAGCAGGAAGCAGTTTGTATCTGGCTCTCTAGGGCGGATAGTCTCATGACATCCAAATGGTCTTCTCTGCTGGAATTAGTTCACCAGGCTTCCAGTTGAGAAGTACCCTTAAATTATTCAGTGAAGCTCTTTGATCCTGTCTGTTGAGCTCTGCTTCATTTTGTTTCCCTCTCTGTCAGGGAAGCATCTGTAGATGCTGGGCTAGTTTCCAAAGCAATAAAAGGCACATCCCAGAACATGTAATACGCCCAGCATGAGCTGTATTCAAGTGGCCCAATTTATTGCCACAAACAGAAGGGAAAGAAGACATGGGTAGAGAGGCTTCTGGCAACACAAACTCCAGGGATTCCAAGGTGACAGTCATGATGGGAACGTGCTTCCCAACAGTGACTAGGCTTCCCTGGGTTCACCAAGACTCAGGCAGCTGCTTTCCTCCTCCTTCCCACCAAAAACTTCAAGCTGCCTTTTGGCTTCTTAGGAGGTTCAGAGGCACAGATGACTTTTGGAGGCTTTGCTATAACACTTCTCATCTTTAGTGTCCCTTGCATCAAACTTCTCCAGTCCTAGGGCAGATTAGCAACTCTTTATAAACAGAAATGTTCTTTTTGCTTGTTTGTTTTTAGAGGAACATGAGCTGACAGTGGATATGGAAACCATCAGCCTGGACCGAGATGCAGAGGTAATGCCGCCTGCGTGACTCAGCCTCAAAGGGCATGGTTACAGATGACCCTAGCTATCAGCTTCTTAAAGGTGGCAAATTAGTGACTAAAGAGATCACCCAAGACTTTTTTTGATTAGTTTGATTTCCTGTATTTTTAACACTAGCAGTTGAAATCTATTTCTGTTTAGATAGTTAAGACCTGTGTGACAAATGAAATGCTTTTGATTCAAGTTATATGTATCCAGTGGTCATATTGTTGATATGGGTCCTTAAACCCCCAATTTTGGAAAAGTGTGGATGTGGATATGTGTCCATTTGCTAGGGAATTGGATTCAGATTAACCACTGGGTCAGTTTTACATAAAACTAACATAAATCACAACTAAACAAAATGTCGACCTGCCAATCACAAATGGATCTACTAGCCTCACAGCCTCTCCCTTCCCTTCTCTTCTGGCATTCTCCTAAGCAGCTCTTGGCCAGGTCTCCAGAAACTCTGATGGTTCTAAGCAAAATTCCTCTGTGTTTCAGGATGTTGATCTGAATCACTATCGTATTGGAAAGATTGAAGGCTTCGAGGTGCTGAAGAAAGTGAAGGTGAGAGGAATCTGTCCTTGGCACACAAGGTGACTTGGTAACATTTACTTGGAGAATATGCATAATCCTTGTTCCCATCCTGTGGGTGACGCTGGCCTATATTCTCATGTTTCTCTTCTGAGTGGGACAGGTGGGAAGTCTGGGCTCTAGTACTGCCTTGGCGAGACCTTGCAGTCTCCTGTACTAGCTCACTACAGTTAAGTTTACTTCTCAAAATGGAGCCCAGTAAAGGTTCCTCCAACTGCGAGAACTTGACTTACACTCCAACCCTATTCAGGGCCTTCCTCCCCAAACAGGTATGCTCAATATGGGTCTTCCTGACTTTCCTTTGGGCCTATGCATGTTCTCAAGTAGAGGAGAGTAATTCCAGCTTCTTATCCCCACTCACTGCCCCTTGAAGGTCAGCATGAAATAGCCCCAGGAGTGTGGCCCTGTGTTTGCCAATGCTGATCCTCTTCCTATCCTCCAGTCACTCTGCCTACGTCAAAACTTAATTAAATGCATTGAGAACCTGGAGGAACTGCAGAGTCTTCGAGAACTGGATCTCTATGATAATCAGATCAAGAAGATTGAGAATCTGGAGGCGCTGACAGAACTGGAGTGAGTAGGGAGACCCAGAGGAGATGGGATGGGTTGGGTGACGAGGGTGACCTACCCACTGCCTGGCTATAGTCCTGGAGAGCTACCCTGTGCTAGAGCTCTAAGAGGGAGCAACAGTTTCTTACATGCCATTAACATTGAAGGCTGAGTTCATTCAATAATGATGTAAGAACTGGGAAGTAGGATCTTTAATCCATAATCCCCTTTTTAAAAAACAAGTGTCAGCCACTACAGGGATCAGCTTTACCTGGCTATAGCCTTATCTGGCTTCATTCCTTTGTTGGTGCTGGCTTTTGTTTTTGTTTCTTTTTGAGATCATGTCTGAAGTAGCCCAGGCTGAACTGAACTCTCTGTAGATGAGATGATCTTGAATTTTGAGCCCTCTGCCTCCACCTCTCCAGTATTGGCCTTACAGACATGTGCCACCATGCCCATCTGTTTTGATTTTTCTTTGTTTCAGTTTTAGTCCAACACCACTCAGGTTGAACATGGTACTAGGCTCTGCCGTGGACACAGGCATAAATGAAGCCTGGTTTCTGCTCTAGATAGGGCAGTTAGGAAACAGTGTTCATAGCCTGCAGGTTGCCTTTACTGCCCTCCAGGCGCCAGACAGCTTCATGGTCCCATAGGTCAGCTCCAGTGTGAGCCAGTCAGTGAGTGATGGGGCCATGGTGAGATCCAACCTCCTAGTGACTGCAGATCCTGGAGGCAGATATCCTCTAAGTGGAATTCTGACTCCTATGTTCCTGTGTTCCTTCAAGAAATATTTTGCTTCTTTCCAGGACTCTAGATATTTCTTTTAATCTGCTAAGGAACATTGAAGGGATTGACAAACTGACACAGCTGAAAAAACTCTTCTTGGTCAACAATAAGATCAGTAAAATTGAGAACCTAAGTACCTTACATCAACTACAGATGCTGGAGCTGGGCTCGAACCGCATCCGAGTAAGTACAGATGGATCTGCAGTGGTGCACATAGGGTATGTGCTCGGCTGAGGCTTTGCTAGGTTCATGTTGTTTGGAGGATGCAGGGAAATAGTTAAGGAAAACTGTTAACTGGAAGCCAATATTTTTTTAATTCATTTATTTATTTTACATCCTGGCCACAGCCTCCCCTCCATTATTCCCTCCAGTCCCTCTCCACCATTCCTCACCCCCAACCCCTCCTCTTCCATCTCCATCTAGGAAAGGACACATCTCCTATGAATATCAATAAAACATAGTGTATCAAATTGCAGTAAGACTAAGCACCTCCCCATGTGTTAAGTCTGGGCAGGATGACCCAGTATGAGGAGTAAGGTCCCAAAAGCCAGTAAAAGAGTTGGAGTCAGCCCCTGTTCCCGTTGTTAAGAGTCCCATAAGAGTACCAAGCTACACAACTGTAACATATATGCAGAGTGCCTAGGCCAGTCTCATGCAGGCTCCCTGGTTGTCGGTTCAGTCTAGTTTCCGTCAGCCCCTGTGAGCCCAGGTTAGTTGATTATGTGAGCTTGGAAGCCAGTATTAATAAGAACTGTGCTCACACCGACTGATCTTGTCTGGTAATTAGCTTTCATGGCTCTTCATCTGTATCATGGTCCTGTGCCAAGCTAGTGCCAGCTGTGCTCCATAAAGAAAGCCAACTAAGCTTTTCTTTTAAACCTGTTCATAGTAGTTTTCTTTCATCTGTAACTGAGGTGTGTTTCACACTTGCAGTGATCATGTGATAAGCAAGATTTTTACAGCTGAAATGTCCCCCCAGAACACTGGGGCTGGTCCTTCATCCCCTAAAAATGTCCTCTGGCAGAATTTGGTTTGATGTTCAAGATCCATTTGACCTTGAAAACATGGGTCAGAATGAAAATGAAAGGCCTTTGAAAAAAGGAGTGCTACAGTGTTCCACAGAAACAAAACTAAGTCTTTTGAGATAGTGTCTCACTTACTGTGTAGCCCAGACTGTCCTAGAACTCACAGAGATCTCCCAGTACCAAGATTAAAGGCATATACTACTACACCCAGCAAAACCCAAGTTTTTGCCAGTTGACACATAACAGCTAGGGAAAGTGCCTTGTATCTGACAGTCAGGAACCTCAGAGGGTCATATAAGTTCTGATATTGGAAGAGGATCTGCCAGGCAGAAGAGGGAGGCTTACCCATGGGCACACACAAGGGTTTTGTCAGTCTTAAAACTATATGAGCCTAGTTTTGACATCTTGTGTCATTGTGCTGTGTCTATCCTCAGTCTGCTTGGTTAGTGACTGAGCAGGTATTTACATGCCTGTGTCTGCCACTCCATGTGTGAAGTAGCTCCCAGTTGGTGTTTGGAAGTACTGTACCACACTTTGTGGCCTGCCCTTATGGTTCTTCAAGAGCCATCAGGGTACAAAACCAGGACTAAGTAGATGTGACTGCACCAAGGAGAAGCAAGGGACGAGGAATGGGAACAGCCATGGGGCATCCCTCATGAACTTCTGAGATCAAGGTTCCCAGTATCTTGATTTCTGTAGAGGCCTAGGCTCATGGGAATGCATAGTCTCAAAAGCTGTGTAGAATGAAATGCCACTTAGGCCAGAGAAATCAGCGAGCTTATGAGTTTTCAAATAATCCCAGAGCTCTGAAAGTATGAGAGTTGGCCGGGTGGTAGTAGCATATTGCCTTGGGAGGCAGAAGCAGGCGAGTTTCTGAACTGGAGGCCAGCCTGGTCTACAGGTATCCAGAGTGAATTCCAGGACATCCAGGGCTATACAGAGAATCTCTTGTTTCAAGAAACGAGGGGGGGGGGGGGGGGGGAGAAAGAGATTTTGGGTTTGGGAGTGAGCCCCAGGAATCAGTCTTCAATCCTCCATCATTTTCGTTCTTTTCCACACTGTATATTCAAGAGATAGTTCATTAGCAAGTTCCCAGAGTCCAAACATCACAGAGCTGAAGTCTTAGATTGCCTCATCTTATGGTCTAGATTCTTTACTTGATGTTTTGTCTGTTTGACAGGCAATTGAAAATATCGACACGTTAACCAACCTGGAGAGTTTGTTTCTGGGGAAAAACAAAATTACAAAACTTCAGAACCTGGATGCACTTACCAACCTGACAGTCCTCAGTATGCAGGTACTGGGCCTCACCAGCTCCCAGCTTCTCATTCTTACAGGGCCAGACCCATCACACTCAACCTGTTTTATTCCCTTAGTATGTCCGTGACCAACACTGTTTCACAGTCAGTAGATGGTGGAAACATTAGAATCCACAGATCATAGTACATACACATATATTCTAAACTAAAATTCTGTTCTTCTTATATAATTTATTTTTACTTTTAAGGATTTCAATTTTGGGAGATGGAAAGATGGTTAAGAGCACCAGCTACCCTTCCAGAGGATCCAAGTTCGATTCCTAGCACCCACATGGTGACTCACAGATGTTTCGTTCCACAAAATCTGACACATTTCTTCTGGCCTCCACAGGCACCAGTCACATATGTGATGATATACAGACAGACAGACATTCAGGCAAAACACCCACACACATAAATTTAATTTTTAAAAGATAGAATTTCATTCCTTGGACTGAAGAGATGGTTCAGAAGTTAAGAACACTGGTTGCTCTTCCACGCAATTCAGGTTCACTTCCTAGCACCCACATGGCAACTCACAAATATCTGTAACTCTAGTCCAATAGCCTCTTCTGGCTTCTGAGGGCACCAGGCGAGCATGTGATGCACAGACATACATGCAGGCAAACGTTTATGCACATAAAATAATAGTGATGTTCATTCCTTTCTCTATTGGCAGTTGAGCAATAAATGAACTCTGTGGCCATCTTTAGCAGGGAGAGCTCACTCCAGTCCTCTCAAGTGTATCTGTTCAGTGGCAGAACTTCTCTGTCCGTACTTCACAGAGAGGGCAGACCTTGTGAGACCATGGGTTTGAGGACAGTTCAGCTGGTCAGCACTGATGTATGTATAGGCTCGTTAACTTTTATTTTTAATTAAGACAAGGTCTCACTATGTAACTCTTGATGGCCTGGAACTCACTATAAACCAGGCTGGTCTCAAACTTACAAGAAATCCTGCTGTCTCTGTCTCCTGTATACTGGGATTAGAGGTGTGCAGCACTATGGCTGATTCATGTGGACTTTGTTGTTGGTTTTAGAGGTTTCGTTTTTGTTTGGCAGAATCAAACCTTGAAGGGTTAAAGGGAGATATGCCTGGGTGTGCCTGGGATGCCTTGTGTGGCAGGTCCCACTGACATGGCACAGGAACCTCATAGACTGAGTAAAACAAGTGTCTTACAGACGACTTCAAAGAGAAATTTTTGAATTGTAATTAAGTTGTAAGATACTCTAAAAGAAATGAAAATTGCTTCCTTCCAAACAAAAATGAGCCTGGCGGTGGTGGCACACACCTTTAATCCTAGCACCCGGGAAGCAGAGGCAGGTGAATCTCTGTGAGTTCGAGGCCAGCCTGGTCTACAGAGCTAGTTCCAGGACAGGCTCCAAAGCTACAGAGAAACCCTGTCTCAAAAAAAAAGTTAGGACAGGAGAGATGACTCAGTGAGTAAAGGTGCTTGTTGCCAAGCCTGATGATCTGAGTTCAATTCCCCAGGTCCCATATAATGGAGAAAACGGATTTCCTGCAAGTTTTCTGATGTCTACCAGTACACCCACATATACACATTACACATACTAAATATTCAAAACAAAAACAAAACCCATGATACTTTGAGGAGAGCTAGAAAGCAGTTGAGGGCTCTGGATGCTCTTCCAGAGAACCTGGGTTAATTCTCAATGTCCACATGGCAGCTCCAACAACCTCTTCTGGCCTCAGCACCAGGCATGCATGTGGTACACAAACATACATACAGATAGAACACCCATACACAAAAAACAAAAGTGTTTTCATTGATACTTTTGAGATTTTTAAATTGTTATAGTAAGAGGTCCAGCAAGATGGCAGAGGAAGTAAAAGACTCCTGTTACCAAAACTGACCACCTGCCTGGCAGAGGTGACTCACACCTTTAATCTCAGCACTTCTGTAGAGGCAGGCAGATCTTTGTGAGTTCAAGGACAACCTAATATACAGAGCTAGTTTCAGGACAGCTCACACTGTCACACAGAGAAACCTTGTCTCAAGAAAACAAACAAACAGTGTAGTAGGAGCTTCGGGCCACTTCCTGCCAGCCACCTGGCTAGCTTATGCCCCGAAATAACAACACACAAATTGTATTCTTTTAAACACTGCCTGGCCCATTAGTTTCAGCCTCTTATTGGCTAATTCTCACATCTTGCTTTAACCCATATTTAGTAATAAGTGTAGCAGCACGAGGTGGTGGCTTACCGAGAAGGATCTTAACCTGCGTCCATCTTGGAGAGGAGAGCTATAGCGTCTGCCTCATTTCCCTTCTTCCCAGCATTCTATTCGGTCTTAATTAACCAATGAAAGCAACAGATAGATAGAAGACACTCCCACATCAAAACAGAAACAAAACAAAAAATCTGTATTCAATCCCTAGCACCCATATGATAGAAGGTGCAAATTGACTCTACAAGTTGTCCCCTGACCTCCGTGTACCCGCCATTACATGGTCATATGCACATAAATACACAAGACAAATCTATTTCTTAATTACTTCAAATAAACCTTCAGATACATCTAAAAAAAAGTATGATTTTCATATAAAAACCCCAAACTTCAACATGATATTCAACCCAGTACAACAGACCCAAAATGTTAGTCCTCTTCTCAAGTCCCATTTCAAGAATATTTTAATTTTTTGATTTTATTATGTTTGTTTGTTTTAGTTATACAGACAGGGTGTTTCTGTGTAGCTCTGGCTATCTGGGAACTTACTCTGTAGGCCAGGCTGGCTGCCTTGCCTCCTGAATGCCTATTTTTTATTTTTATATGTATGGCTGTTTTGCCTGCGTGTATGTCGGTGCTCTTGGAGGCCAGAAAAAAGCATCAGATACCCCGGAACTGGAGTGACAGATGATCATGAGCAGCTGTGTCCATTCTGGGAATGAAACCTAGGTCTTCTGAAAGACTAGCCAATGATCTTAATCACTGAACCACTTACCCATCCACCCCTACCTCCCAACACTTTTTAAATAAAATATGATAAATGGGAAACTTCATTTCTTTCTTTTTTTTTTTTTTATTTATTATGTGTACAACATTCTGCTTCCCACACACCAGAAGAGGGTGCCAGATCTCATTACAGATGGTTGTGAGCCATCATGTGGTTGCTGGGAATTGAACTCAGGACCTCTGGAAGAGCAGTCAGTGCTCTTAACCTCTGAGCCATCTCTCCAGCCCGGGAAACTTCATTTCTAAAGCCCTTGTATTTCTCACCTTCTGTGTAGCTGACTGCTCTTTTTCTTATCTTTTAATATTTTCCTGTGTGTGGTATGAATGTATGTGGTATGATTGTATGTGTATTCATGCACATTGTGTGTATGTGTTTGCTTGTGGAGACCCCAGATTAGATTAAATTTGGGAATCGCCCTTGATCGCTCTTCCACCTTATTCATAGAATGAGTCTCTTAGTCAAACCCAGAGCTAATTTTATGGCTAGTTTTGCTGACCAGCTTGCTCTGAGAATCACCTATCTCTGGGCTTCCATGGCTGGAATCACAGGCATGCCACCATACTCACCTGGCATTTATGTGGGTTCTGGAAGTTCAAATTTGGGTCTTCAAGCTTAAGTGGAAAATATTTTAACTACTTAACTATATCCTCAGCCCCAAGAATGATACTTTTTAATTCTCTTCTACAGAGCAATCGGCTAACAAAGATTGAGGGTCTACAGAGCTTGGTGAACCTGCGTGAACTATACCTCAGCCACAATGGTATCGAGGTTATCGAGGGCCTGGAGAACAACGTAAGAGCCCATTGGTCTGTCTGAGGGAGCTAAAGGGAGGTGAAGAGGAAGGGGCGGGTGCTGGCATCCACTGCCCTCCAGGCCTGGCCTCAGGTGGACATACTGCCAACAGGATGTGAGCTAAGGGCTCTCTACCCCAGTGAGTCAAAGGGCCAGCATGTCCCATGACTGCCTGTGGGGTTTCAACACAGCTATCACAGACAGACACCCTCCTAGGGCAGTTCACTGCACATCTGCCATGTATTCTAGGCCTTTGGGTGATTTAAAAAATCCTTACGTGCCCCTGTATCGCACAGATAGCTAACACAAGTATCATCAGCTCTGTCCTTCCCATTACTCCCTCTGGCCACTGAACTTCCTGCCTTACCTCAGCCTGTAAAGACTCCAGGGTGAGCCTAGCCTGCTTAGAAGGAAGAGCCATGCTCCCTGGCCCCACTCCTGGAGTCCAGAGTGCTGAAGGTCTCCTCCCCACTACCTTTCACCAATCTGTCCACTCCTCCCGCCCACCTCCAGCTTCCCATTCAAGAAGAGCTTCTCCTACTTACAGTTGCCTTTGTCTCACCTGTTTTTCCTCCAAGCATGATTCAAGACAAATAAAATATTCTTTCTTGTTCAATTTTACTGGGGTTGTTTTGTTTTGTTTCAGGGAAATGTTTTTTGTTTATTTGGTTGATTGGTTGCTTTTGTTAAATTGCCATCAAATGCAACAAGATTAGGTCAGGTTTTTGTTCTTGGAATCATCATTATTCAAATCTCATCATAGGTTCCTTTGCCCTTTGTGCCCCATCAGTGAAATTCTGGAGGAAAACCAGTGTTCTGAGTTTTAGTTCATCACTTGTATAAGAATTTTCAGGAAAGCTAAAATTTACCTGTTCAAAGTTTGGTAACCTTCCTCTAACTTTGTAATCAAATTAGGAATTTAGCTAGCATATGAAGCCAGGTGTGGTAGCACTCACCTATAATCACAGCACTTGAATGACGAAAGCAGGAGAATCAGAAGTTCAAGGCCAGCCTTGACTACTTCCTGAGTTCAAGGCTAGCCTAGGCAGCGTGAGACCCTGTCTCAAACACACATAAAACAATTAAAACCTGCGTGTGACCTTCTGTAGTGTAGGATGGTAGTTAATAGGAGAGCCAGAGGCAGCAACTGGAGCAAGGGAACTTCAGAAAGCCTTGGGGCTGGGTGGAGTGAACACACTGACAGAGCACCAGTACCTCTGCTCCTCACAGGTAACAGTCCCCTCTAGGGGACCAGCATGTCTATCTGCTCTGTAATTCTCTCATGGTACAGGTCTGTCTTCAAACAGGAAAGAAGTGTGAGTGTAGAGTCTTACCCAAGGCATCTTATAGCTAAGTCTTAGTTACATGTCATGTCTGAAATAGAACAGAAATACTGTGTTAACAGTAACTGTCATCGTAATGTTTACCTTGATCAAATGTGACAGTCTTTCAGACTTATTTCATTATAAGTATTTACCTAATGTTCTCCCAAGTTTTATCTTAATCAAGAATTTACTTTCATGGTGGGAGAAAAACAAGTAACTTTTCCCAAGTGGCACGTTCACTGTCACTGGCCCACTTATCAAATGTTCTTTCTTTCTTTCTTCAGTGTCCCAAGGCACCTGTCTGGTGGATTTGGCTCTTCTGTGCCCTGAGATTTTTCCCTTCGTTAACCTAAAATGTTTATTCTGGCTCTTGACCTGGGTGTTTCTTTATCGTGTATATAAATTGCCTTCCCTACCCTGTTGTGTTGTTTTGTTTTTAATTTTAAAAAAAATCTTGTTTGATTTTGAATAAGCACTCAAATCCTCAAGCAGAAGGGGATTGAGTGTATAACTAGATCTCAGGTCAGAAAGGTTAGTGCGCCGTCCTGGGGGCCAGAGTCCACCACCAGCACTCTTCCTGCTGAGCCTTGGACTCAGATCTATCGTGGGTTTCAGACTACTACTGTTTTGCTAGTTTACAGTCTTGCTCATTGAGCTGTCACAAGTGCTGGGGAAGGATTCCGTTGGTGGGCTTGTTCTGTCCCAGCCTGCTGTGTCCTCGGGTTGACACTCTAGCCCCATATTGTTGTTTTATGGCTCTGTTGACTCTGAAGCTCCACGAATTGTTACTTGGTACTCTCATACCTGTGCTGTGTATCTGGAATCAGTGCTTCTAGCATGTGTGCCAGTGCTTGGGTGATGCTTATATGGGATGTGGAGGCGGGTAGGGTGGTACTGTGGAACCTTCAAGGGATTAGGAAGCCACACCTGTGACATTTTTTAATCAATAGCTACTGACTATGAATTTTTTTAAAATTTCCATTAAAACTTGGAAAGGTTTGGGATCAAGATACCAGGAATGCAGTAGAAAACAAGGACCATGAGTCTCTAAAGTGCTGAGAGATCTTTAGAGCAGATGAGGGAAGGACTTCCAGCCAGCTGTAAGATTGCCATGGAGTCTAGGAAAGCATCCCAGTGGTTTGTTAAAACATATTGGCAAGCACTATAAGTTACGGTAGACTTAATTTTCACCATGACATTGTTCTGCTGTTGAATCTTGAAACTATAACCATGAAAACAATTATAAAGCCAGGTGGCGCATGCCTTTAATCCCAGCACTCAGGAGACAGAGGCAGGTGAGTCTCTGAGTTCGAGGCTAACCTGGTCTACAGAGCTAGCTGTTAAGATACCCAGGGCTACACAAAGAAACCCTGTCTGGTGTGGGGGAAGGAGAGATAGGGCACAATGCTGTATCTTGCAGGTTACTTGGTACCCACAGACACCATCTTCAGCTGCTAAGGTCCCACTTGCCTTCATTGCTTCCCTAAGTTCTAGCAGGCCCCGATATTAGCCCTTCAGTACCTAGGCCTTCCTGGCATCGCCCCAGGTAGCTTTGACCAAGACAGGAAGGCCTTGGGGGCTGGAGAGATGGCTCAGAGGTTAAGAGCACTGACTGCTCTTCCAGAGGTCCTGAGTTCAATTCCCAGCAACCACATGGTGGCTCACAACCATCTGTAATGAGATCTGGTGCCCTCTTCTGGCTTGCAGGCATACACACAGACAGAATATTGTAAACATAATAAATAAACAAATATTTTAAAAAAATCAAATGAAAAAAAGAAAGCATATTTAAAAAAAAAAAAACAGGAAGGCCTCTTTGTTATTCCTCCCACTTCTACTGTGTGCCTGGAGTATCTTGTCCTCACCCAAACCTCAAGCTCCTCAGCCTCACTGAAGAAAGGAATTCCACTGTCAGTAATTCAGCGCTGTATTTCCTCACAGTAATCACTAAAGACTTGCTACAACGGTTGTCATTCCTTCCTCAAAGCTCAGAGTCACTGCTCTCCCCAGACCCCAAGAACAGGAACAAGGGTTTTACTGGGGTCCTCCACAGTTCAGGAACGGTGAGGGCTTCATGAGGTTTTGAACAAAAGCACTGCATCAGGTCCAGCTGAGGAAGCCACAGGAAGTGGGTAGGTGGTATCAGTCCAGCTCTATCAAAGTCACCCCAAGGCACATAGAGGGTAGCTATGCAGTCTTCAGCTCAGCCTCACACTGTTGCATGTGGTTGCATGCTGCTATTGAAGTTCAGTAATCCAGAAAAAATTTTCTTATTTTAGAACAAACTCACCATGTTGGACATTGCATCAAATAGGATAAAAAAGATTGAAAATATCAGCCATCTAACAGAACTGCAAGAATTCTGGGTAAGTCTTAAACATAGTGGGATTGGCATCTCTCTCTTTGGCTCAGTGGGTCCTGTTGAGTAAAACATGTGAATGAATGAAAGTCTGCTAGTCCTGGAAGCCTTGATGCCCAGTGAACCGTGCCTGTGTCCTGGGGATCAAATGCAAGTTGTTTCATGTGCTGTTACCCACTGAGCCATCTCACCATCCCTGCCTTCGATTTTTTTAGTATACTATTATAGATATATCATTTCATTTATTTGTTTGTTTGTTTGTTTGTTTGTTTTGAGGCAAGGTCTCCCTGTGTAGCCCTGACCATTCTGACATCACAGAGATGTACCTGCCTGTACCTCATAAGTGCTCTGATTAAAGGCATGAGCCACAGTGCCCAGCTTAGCTTTAAATATGTAAATGTATAGTTTTTGTGAAATAAAGAAAACAAAAATTTTTTCCCTCTAAAATTTTTCCAGGTCCTCCCAACCCTTAGTTTCTTCTGAAACACAGCATATGTGTGTTAGTCCTTTGGTAATTAGATCATAGCACATCTGTTGCTCGTCTACCCCTCCTTTCCCCAGGCTTTGCTCTAGATGAGCCTCAGTTTATGTGATTTCTTTTTCTTTCTTTCTTTCTTTCTTTCTTTTTTTTTTTTTGTTTTGTTTTGTTTTTGTTTTTCAGAATAGGGTTTCTCTGTGTAGCTTTGGAGCCTGGCCTTGAACTCACAAAGATCCGCCTGCCTCTGCCTCCCCAGTGCTGGGAATAAAGGCGTGCACCACCATTTCTATTGCTCTGTCTTCAAGATGTATTTTCCCTTCTGCAGTACCCAGTCTGCTTTTAAGATCATTATTTAGCTACTTCAGTTTTTGGAGGCTTACATATTTATTTGTGTTTATGTGTCTTTATAGTACATAGGTATATGTATGGGTGCCTATGCCTGTGGGTGGCACAGAAGGTAGCTGTGATTTCCTCTGTCATCCTCTGCCTGTTTATTTGAAGCAGAGTTTCTCCCTGAACCTGGGTCTGGCATTTATTTTCTCACTCCACTAAGCTGGAAGCTAGCAAGCCCCAGTGATTCCATGTCTGCCTCCTTTGGAGCTACGGTTACATACACATGCAGGGTGCCTGACCTGTTACACAGGATCCAAACCGTGGTCCTCATTATGCAGCAAGCACTCATAACCCTGAACCACCTCTCCAGCTCTAGGTTCATGGTAGCAGGAGTGCACAGCTAGACTCTGGACCCCTCACAGCCGGGAAGGCTGAGAAATAGAGCAGCATCTCATGATACGGCTTTTCACCTTTTTATTCAGTCCAGGATCCCAGCCCAAAGGGACGATGCCACCCATATTCAGGGTATGGCTTCCTTTCTTGGTTAAACTTCTTTGGAAGTCCTCTCAGACATCCCTAGACATCTCCTAAGTGAATCTAAACCCAATCATGTTGACAGTGAAGTTAATCATACCTATTTGGTGAATTTTTGTTCTGGTTGTCCTTTTGGCTCTTTGAGAACATATTGTTAAGGTTTTTCTTATTTTAGTTAATATATACGCATCTGTGTCTGAGTATGAATTGTGAACACGTGAGGACCTGTGCCTGTGGAGGCCATAAGATGGTATTGGATCTCTGGAACTCAAGTTACAGGGAGTGTGAGCCACCTGATATGACTGCTAAGACCCAAACTCAGACCCTCTACGAGAACAGCACTTGCTCTTAAACTCTGAGCTGTCTCTTCAGCCTGTATTGTTCTTTTTTTATTTCTCACAGATTGGATTTCTTATTTAACTTCTTGTATGCTGGGTATTGTGAAACTAAACAGTTGTATGTCAGATTTGTGTTGTTTTTCTGCAAAATATATTGGACTTTGTATCTAGCAGGAAGTGAAGTCACTGCTAGACTTCAAGGCTTATTGCTGGGGTGAACTTACATGTTTTGTCCTCTTAGGCTAACCAGCTCTATCCCTGTGTATTGCCCCTCTATGACCTCTAGTAAATGTCATGGGGGCCACAGACATGCCTCCACCCCATGCGGGCCCTGGTAGATTTCAGCCATACTCCCTACTCTCTGTATATGCCTTAGTCTTTGCTTCAGGATATAAGAAGGGAGACAGCACAGGATTTCTGGATTTTGTTTTCCTATATAGCTCACTCTTAACTAGAAATTCTGACATCCCCTCTCCCCACCTAAACATAATTCCACTTGACTTCAGTGCGGCTTCCAGAGCTTGTTTGACTCCCCTTCCTCATAAGAGGCCAGCCAGGGTGACCATAGCACTCACCCATTTGTTTTTCCTCTCAGGAATCACTGGTTTGCACCGCCTGTTGTCCAGCTTATGAAAGCAGCTGTCCCTACACCATGCCCTACTCTATTAGTTTATAGTCTAGCAACAGTTGCTCCAGTGTTGATTGAAGCTGAAGCTATATTTGCTTAATTTTGTATTTATGTCTCACCACTATTAAATGTCATGAAGACCAAAGAACAAAGTTGTTTAGGACTTTTTAATCTTTAAAAAATATAACCTAAAAGTTATTATCTGAACCTTCTTAGTATAGAATAGAATGTTGTGAAACACAGTCATGTTTGTGTGGCCACCACCACCATGCTTGTCTTACAAAACTGAAACTGCCCTCGCTAAATACTAATGTCCTTCTCCTACCATTCTCCTTTCTGACTTTATACAGTTTTTGACCTTTTCTCACTGGCTGTTCTCCAGGCTCTTCCTTGTTTTAGCACAAGTGAGATTTTCCCTACTTTTGAAGGATGAGTACTATTCTATTCTATATATGTTGTTTCTTCTTTTGTCTCACCAACCTTTAGAACAATGCTTGATACAGATCTGGTGAGTCCAAAAGAGGGAGTTAGGGAAGGAAGGTTTGTCATTTGAGTAAGGCTAACCGTGTTAATGTTAGAACCGAGCTTACACATGTCAAGTGAGAGGTTAGCATTCTGCTGCTAGAAACAGAAGTAATCATTGCTGGCACTTCCTAACTTGTTCCATTTTTAAAAAACAATGAGATACAGCATTTTGTCCGTGAAGTTGGCAGATTTGTGAAATATGAATGCAGCCAGTCTGTAGTACAGCAACCCCTGTGCTTAGCACAAGTATTTGGAAGCATTTAGAACCATAAACATACCCACTCACTAAAGCATGGTGGTGACACATCCAGGATCCTAACAAAATGATGAGACATACATGTAAAGAAGTAGTCATGTGTCATACAATAGGACACTTCTGAGAAATACATCATTGGGAGCTTTTGTTATATGAACATCATAGAGTACACAGACAACAACAGCTATGATGTCTCTAGATAACACCATGTAGGGCTCGGCTAGATGGACTTGGGGTCCAACATGACGCATTGTCTTTTGTTGGCCAAAATGTCATCAGGTGGCACATGATTTGTTTCCCATAGTAGTAAAAGCTTTGTTGCATTTCTTGATAATAAAAATGCATGTTTATTATACATAAGGTCAGGTTTAAAGAGGAAAGAAAAGCCTTTTTAGCATATATCCTATTCATCTTTTAGATACACTTTTTAGATGCATTATTATATATGAAACCTAGGAACATTTCACATGATGCATGAGTATGGTGGTCACCTGAAAGGCCAAGATTACTTTCTATAATGTATGGGACCTTAAAAGTGACACGAAAACAACCAGTAGAAAAATAGCAGGCAGGTAAGTATGGGCAGTGTGTAGCAGTTTGTCTTATTCCTGCTACTTGAAATGTTCCACGGTTACAGTCTGGACCTAGGACGGATGGCACAGGTCCCTCGAGGGCCCACTCCTCTGCCTCTTATCCTTACCAGACTGGTAAAGCAGAACATCACGCTGACCAAAATCTACAGCAGGAAGGAGAATCTGGTGCAGCAGCCTACTTGCTGCTGACACCTACTCTGGCAGCACACATTGCCTGTGTGTCACCAGCAAATGAGTGAATCAGATGCTTCTCTTCTCTCAATGTGCCTCTGCTGGCCTCAGCCCACTGGGCCTCTCGGAACTTCTGTCCTGTGTTTGCAGTCAGTGGTAAGCAGCCTGGTAGTACCTGGCCAGTGTCTTAGTGGTTGCTGGCAGAAGCTGTATAGCCCAGCCCAGCATCCTGCACACTGACAGCTCTCTCACACACACCCACACACAGCTACTCTCTTCTCTGCAGACATTTGTAATTAGTTCACACTCTCCGATACCACTTCAGTCTGTCTACACTATTGGTGATACCAGTGTCCCTGTAGGTGATCTCTCTAATGACCTAACATCTCCGTTCCTCCACCTCTTCATCTTTATACCCTTTTCCAAGAACTTCAGACTCATATTGGCCTGGTTACGTCCTGATTCCACTTGACCTCACTTCTTCCGTTGCTCACCCATTGTCCCCTCTCAGTTCTCCTTCACAGCCAGTCCTTGTCTAGCCTGGCAGCAGGGGTGGACCCTTATCCACTGAAGTTGAGCCAGACAGAGGGGCAGCAAAGGGGGCTTATGATGTCAGGCTTGGACTTGCCCTGTTAGGTGATTGCCTGTGTGGAGCAGACATCCATCTTCCTGAGCCTGCTGCAATTAAGCATGCAGCCACCAGCATGGTCTGGAAGCCAGCATCTGGGTATCCCAGTGGGTCAGTGCCCAACTCTGTCCTTTATATGCTACTTTTAATCCCACTGTACCAGTGGACACATTCCAGATTCAACATCCTTTCTATTCTGCATCTTTCTTCCACCTCCCAACAACAATTATATTTGATTCCTGTACATTTCTCAAAATAGATAGCCAGCCACTGGCCCTCCATTCTCCTGTCTCCCTGGGTCTTTCTTGGTTGACTTTGCTTCTTTTCTGTTCTGCACCCACAGGAATGCTTCAGCATTCAGTCTTCACTTTTATTTCTCCTTGACAGCCCTATCCAGTCTCACAGATTTAAATGTCACCACTGTGCTCCTGGCAGCCAGCTTCTGTTTCTAGCTCCACTGTCTTTCCTGGATCCAGCTGTCTGCTCTTGTGTTGAGCCATCATCCAAATAGGACAAGGCCAAGCCCGAGCTCATGCATTATCCCCACAGTCCCTCAGTGACTCTGCCCTTCCAGATCCTCAAGCCAGAAGTCTTGGCACCCTCCTAAACGTCCCCTTTCCTGTGTACCAGATCCACTCCAACATCTAAATATTTGCTCTGCCTTCAAAGTGCATCCAAAGCCCCGGTCTCTTCCCACCTCTGCTGCTGCCACTTGCCCAGCATCCTTTCCCTGTACTGTTCTGATGGCCTTCTGGCCTGAAGCCCTGCATCTACCCTCCAAATAAGATCCTTGTGCTTGCTTTGGCTGCACATATACTACATTTTGAACAATACAGAGATTAGCATGACTCTCATGCAAAGATGACAGACATTTATGAAACATTCCATATCTTTATTGTGTATGAGTTAATAAAAAGACAAAGCTGGGCGATGGTGGCGCACGCCTTTAATCCCAGCACTCGGGAGGCAGAGGCAGGCTGATCTCTGTGAGTTCGAGACCAGCCTGGTCTACAAGAGCTAGTTCCAGGACAGGCTCCAAAACCACAGAGAAACCCTGTCTCGAAAAAACAAAAATAAATAAATAAATAAATAAACAAGCAAACAGACAGACAAGAACTAGGGCAAAAAGCATTAAGAACCTTCTAGAAAAAAATCCTGTATGGACTCCCATTCCATTTAGGAATAAAAGCGTAATTCCTACAAAGTTCCATGATCCCCTTAATGGCTCTCACTGTTGTTTTGCCCATCCCTTCCCTACCTTTCTCCACAAATATTATCACTCTGCCAAATCCCGCATTCTTCAGGGCTTCACACAGGATAGGGCCCCATGAATCATCAGTGCAGGAGAAACAACAGTCCCAGAACCTATACTGACCAGGTGCTTCAAACCCAAAGGAATGGTACCAGGTCAAGTCCTATGGACAGTGAAGTCTTAGGACAAGTGCCTGAGAAGCTCTTACATGGAAATTAATCTAGTTCTTGAAATGCCCCCCTCCACTGCATTCTCATCCAGTGACCCTTCATCCTGATGCAATCTTTCACTTCCCCTCCGCTTCACATGTAGCCTGTCTGTCCCACGGTAGGTTCTCAGACTGCAGAGGTCATGTCTCCAGGAGTGGTACCCTGCTTCTTCCTACAGCTGCTTGCTGCAAACCCTGGAGCCTATAGTATCTACAGACATGACTTCTGACAGAAGTCATGGGCAGAACAGGAGCCGCAGGCAGAGTCCTAAAGTTTGATGCTAGACTTGGCTCCTCTGTTCAGGCTGTTGACATAGCAGCTAGTCCTGACTTTATTTTCTGTCTTCAAACCCATAGGTGCAGTAACCCTAAGTGACCTGAGTGTCCATTGTGCACACTCCTAACATCTATAGTTAATCCATAGTGGTGTCATGTTGGTGCTAAGTCAGCCATGGTACACCATAGAAAGTAGCACATTCAACTTACCATGATTTTTCTCTATCCTGTAGAACAAGCTGTTGCTTAAACATTTGCTAGCTTACCATGACCCACATCTAGGTGGCTACTTTGCCCTTCCCAAGCCTCTGCCTCAGCACTTAGACTGGAAAATGGGTTTGGATAGTTTAACCTGGTACTGTAGGTTCTTACCCAAGGTAGCTTTGTCTCAAAATTTGATCCCAATGTGAAACAACATGCATCTTTGAACAGTGTGGGAGTCATCCAGTTCGGTCTCATCTTGATGGCACATTTGAAAAGAGAGAACACCCTCCTGCCATGCTCAGACCCCAGCTCTCTGTAGGGTTCAGTGTCCCTCATCTGGTGTTGGCACTGTTTGTCAGCCTTTGGTGGCCTTTGCATACAGGAGCTAGACATTCTCAGAAATGTACCACAAAGGTGATCTAAGAGTCATGTTTGGAGTAGAGCAGCCTCTGGCCAGCTGCATTACAGTCAGTGCAGTCTCAGCATTGGTAGCAATTAGTGAAAACCAGTGTGTAGGAAGAGTAGCCAGGCCCGCTTCAGATCTGCTTGAGGGCCAGGTGTACAGCCAGCGCCACCCCGCTCTTCTTAATGAACTTAGTCTGCGTGTGAGCAGGTGAAGCTTTCCCGTTGCTGCTAAAAGGCAACCAGGAAGAGCCAAGTGATGACAGAAGGATCTGTGAGGGATTGGGGTAAGGAGAACTATAGAGCCATGGTTCTCAACCTGTAGGTTGCAACCCCTTTGTCAAACATCTTCTCTAGAAATATGTACATTACAATTCATAACAGCAAAATTACAGGTATGGAGTAGCAACAAAAATAAATTAATGGCTGGGGGTCCTCGCAACATGAGGAACTATAGGATCACAGAATTAGGAATGCTGAGATCCAGTGCTGTGGTGTGTTTTAATGACCCCATCTCATATTTGGGGATCCTGGCACATAGGGGCCAGAGCTGATCTATAACAGCCTTTTCCTCGTGTTCCTCCAGATGAATGACAATCTCCTGGAAAGCTGGAGTGACCTTGATGAGCTGAAGGGTGCCAGGAACCTGGAAACCGTGTACCTGGAGCGCAACCCCCTGCAGAAGGACCCACAGTACCGGCGGAAGGTCATGCTGGCCCTACCCTCCGTGCGGCAGATAGATGCCACATTCGTCAGGTTCTGAGTCCTCCTTGCTCCTCACCTGGTCCCTCTCCTCGAAAGAACTTCCCAGCCACGGTTTTTTAATCTACCTATTGCTCCTGAAGTCGTCACTATACCAACAGTCACAACCCAATGGCAATAATAAGGCACTGGTGGTAGTTGGCCTATGATGCCACACACCATTTGGAGATGCCAACACTATTAAATCTTGCCACGCGGTCTTCCTGGTGAATTAGTGACGGTTATTATAGCCATGGAGAGAATGCAGGACATGTTACAGTCATTTGTTCTTCTTGTCTGTCTATGTCCTTTGCCTGGTGGGCATTTCGGGCTGCTACAGCAGGCCCTCAAGTTAGTTTGCAGGGTTTAAGCAGTCATGACCCACAACAGCACATTTGATAGTCTTTCAGACCAATTTTGGAAAGAAAAAAAAAATGTATTTAAAAAAAATTGAGTAAAATCTGGTCGGATCTCAGATGCTGTAGCCCTTTAAGCCTTCCCATCATGAGCACACTGGGCACTGTATGACCCTGTTCCCACTTGGTGAGAGCCGAGATATGGAGAGCGTCATCACACACCCCCAGCTGTGCTGAAACTAAGTGGTTCTTAAAAACATAAGTAACTAAGCTCTCAGCCACTAGTCACATGGCCTCCTATTCTTACCCATGATCCTCTTGGCCTTATTATATGACATTTCTCTGAGCAAACCACTAGGGCATGAATCTAATGCTGCACGGGCATTATCATCCCTGGGAGCCTCAAATCTCCTGTTTCACACAGTAAGGACTGAATATGGTCACCGCAGGCTCCTCAACTTCCAGGATTCTCATTCTACACAGTCTAAGATGGGTCCCCTAACTGCCATATCTGAGTCCGTTGAATTTATTTTATCATCATTTGTGCTCACACTGCGTCTCTTCGTTTCCGTCATTACAGAAGGTTCTAGGCAGCACTGCTCTAGACTTTGTTCAGTTTCGGGACAGCCTGCCTTGTGCTGTGAAGCCTGTGCCCAAGTATCCAAGCTAACCAGTTGGCCAGCTGACAAGGAGTTTGTAACATCAGAATGCTTACATGGGATTTAACATCCATTCACTATTCTAATTCTCACCAAAATAAACTGTATGATCTGAATCTGTGCGGCATCTCCCTGTCATGAAACAAGCTCTTAGCAAGAAAAAGTGGGTGGAGCAGCATGCCGAGAACATTGTGCCATAGCCCTGGGAGTTCAGAAGGACCGAAATGTAGGTGTCTCCTCTGCAGCCACAGGAGCCCTACACACGTGCACATGATTCTGTAGCGTGTGTAGAGAAGTAATACTGAGGGAACAGCAGGCACCAAAGTGGCACAACCATCTCGAGGATCATCTGCAACATTCAGTGGGAGGAGAATCTTAACAGTTAAATAGAGTGGGCAGGGGAAATTTTCTCCAAGTGAATTCAAAATCTAGAAGTAGGAAGAAATGTCAAAAAGTTATTCCTTAAGCCAGCAGTGGTGACACGTGCCTTTAATACCAGTTCTCTGCAGGCAGAGGCAGGTGGATCTCTGAGTTTAAGGCCAGCCTGGTCTGCAAAGCAAGTTCCAGGACAGCCAGGGCTGTACATAGAGAAACCCTGTCTCAAAAAAAAAAAAAAAAAAAAGTTATTCCTTAAAATAGTTCTAGGTCCCAGAAAGAATCTCCAGAGTGGAACTAGCTAAAAGTTCAGTTTACGTTGAGAATGCCCCTGCTAAAAATATGGATAAATATAATGTGAGAAAAGAAAACACTGGGGGGTTGTAGAGATGGCTCAGCTGTTAAGAGCATTGCCTGCTCTTCCAAAGGTCCTGAGTTCAATTCCCAGCAACCACATGGTGGCTCACAACCATCTGTAATGAGGTCTGGTGCCCTCTTCTGGCCTTCAGGCACACACACAGAAAAAATATTGCATACATAATTAATAAATAAATAAATGCACTGCTTTTACATAGGGATATAAATGCAAAAGTCTTAAATAAAAGATCAGCAAGTCAAAAGATACTGCTTCTTAGCCGGGCGGTGGTGGCGCACGCCTTTAATCCCAGCACTCGGGAGGCAGAGGCAGGCGGATCTCTGTGAGTTCGAGACCAGCCTGGTCTACAAGAGCTAGTTCCAGGACAGGCTCCAAAACCACAGAGAAACCCTGTCTCGAAAAACCAAAAAAAAAAAGATACTGCTTCTTGACCAAGGTTTTATCTCAGGAATGCAAGGATGGTTTAAGAATAGACAGGACTGGGCCTGGGGTATAGGCCTGTAATCCTAGCTACTCAGGAGGCTGAGGGAGGGGGATTAAAAGTTTAAGGCATGCCTTGGCTACAGAATGACATCAAGGCCAACCTAGGCAACCTAATATAACCGTATCTCAAAAATAAAAAATAACAAGGGGTCTGGGAATATAGCTCAAGAATAGAATACCTGCCTAGCATATCAGAGACCCTGTTCAATTTCAGATGTTAGGGGAAGAGAAAGGAAACAAACCATTTCTATAAATCACCATTTAGTGCAGTTAAAAAGCAAACCACCAATTATCTTAATGTTATAAAGACTTAGCTGTATATATCCCTGGATTTTTTTTCAAGGAAAAACTAATTATTGTTGTTGTTGTTATATGCATGATGTCAGTGTGTGTTGTGGGCACATATGTGCCATGTGCACCGTGTGCACTTCCAAGAACAGATCTGTAGAGTCGGTTCTCTCCTCCCCCTTTTTGTGAGCTCTGCACTTGAACTTTGCTTGTCAGGGTTGTGCAGCAAGCCATTACCTGTTGAACCATCTCACTGGCTCCTGTATTCATGAATTGTAACATTTTTATTCCTTTATAAATAAAAAGATGTCTTAAAGATTGTAGAATTTGATGAATAAATTCAAGCCATGGAGAAAGGCCAATGGGTAAGAAAGCTTGTTCTGCAAACCTGAGAACCTGAGTTTAAATCCCCATCCCCACATCAAAAACCGAGCATGGCTTCTGACCAAGATTACAATACTGTAACTTTAGAAGAAGATAGCTCTGTTGAAGAGTGTCTGTTTAGACTATGCAAGGCCCTAATCCCATTGCCGGGAGTGGGAATGACTGAGGGTGGGCACTTTCCCCACTGGCTGACATACTTATTTTTTATTGTCACTGTGATAGACTTATCTTGAAGACACAGCATAAGGCAGGGTTTAACCTAGCTCATGACGCAATGAACATAGTGCCAGCAGGAGAAGCTTCCCATGGCAGCAGTGGGAACTGACATCTACAGTCAGAAGCAAAGCTAGGTTCTATGTCCCAAAGGTTCCGCAGCCTTCCCTAATAGCACCACCAACTGGGGGCCAAATATTGAAATGTGTAAGCCTCTGCGGACGTTTCATCTTCCAGTAGCACACACACATTCACATACGAAAAGCTACCATGCTGTATTTCATCAGATGTGCATACCATGGATTGTAAGATACTGGCACTTTATGAACCATTAGGAAACCCTGACAATTAGTTGTACACCGTATGCTCAGTCCAGAGATATTGAAATGTGAAAAATGAAGCAAATCGCATAAATACCAGGGCTAGAAACTACAAACGATCACTGAAACGGAAACAAAGCAAGTAGAAATCGATACAAGGTATGCTTCCCGCAGGCAGGAACAGATCTGTTACATAGGTAAAGTAACTGGTGAAGCATGGGAAAATATGGATAGAATTACACTGACTTCCTTCGACTAAAACCCAGACTTCGGAATTTGCTACCTGATAAAAGAGCCAACATTAATAAGAAGGGCCCCCTGGCTGGAGAGATGGCTCAGTGGTTAAGAGCACTGACAGCTCTTCCAGAGGACCCGGTTTCAATTCCCAGCACCCACATGGCAGCTCACAACTGTCTGAAGATCCAGTTGCAGGGAATCTGACACCTTCGCGCCAATGCACATAAAATAAAGTTAAATAAACCATAAATTATTAAAAAAAAAAAGAAAGAAAAAGGGCCCCTCTTACCAAAAGCCACATTCCAAACAGTAAAGTAGCAAGCTCTTATGTCTCAGCATCTCTGCCTATGGTAGAGCATGACTAGCTACTAAACAAGATTTACTTCTGATTGTGAGTAAGTAGCCTGAGTACTGTGTCCCTTCAAGGTTGTTCCCCCAAGAACCCAGCACACCAGGAGGCCTCTGCTGGAGGAACTGGGACCACAGGTGAGTTCTCCCTTCGCTGGGCCCTCCAGAAATGACCTCTCCCAGTCCCCAGTCAGAGGATGGAAGGTCTTAGAGTCTGTGTTCACCCCTGTCTTCACCCTCCTATTCAGAGACCTGCTCCCCTGTGCTTTTCTATCCTGGTCATCCCAGACCCACCTGCCAGCTCTCTCTGTCCCTGTCCAGCTCAGCTCTGCCAGCTGGGATCAGGAATGTTGGTTGGCACAAGGCAGTGTCTCATAACACTCCCAAACCTGCTGCAACTTCATCTCTACCACCATGGGTCATGAGACTGCAGAGGGGCAGCCAGGGACCTGCTTCCTGCCAGGTGGGGGCAGAGGGTTAGGGCCAATCTATGGCCCCTACCCTGTTTCCCTCTCCTTGCCCCTGCGCACCAAGCCTGGAAAGGGTGTTTTAGTAAGGGGAGAGGTAGGAGCACCCTAGGCAGGTGCCAGACCAAGTGTGGTCTAGCAGATTACAACATTCCTCATGGACAGAGAAAGATATCGCTGGACCTCTGACCTTGTGAGATGTGGCCTGAGAGACATCAAAACAGTCTGGGGACAGCAGGCTGGAGAGATACAGGGAACCTCCAGGGTTAGGTGTGGGAGCCTGTGACCCAATTTGCTAGGACCGCAGCCTAGAGAGAAAACAGACCAGGGCCCTGAGGCCAACCCACCTAGACATTACAGTCGCCTCTCTGCCCCCCTGCATGGATACCTATACTTTTGGGCAGGGTTGGGTAGGGACTCACTCTCCTGTTATAGAATATATTTTTTTTTTATGTGTATGTTTCTCCCCCATCAAAGTGTACTGTGTTGCCCTTGGAGACCAGAAGAGGGCATTGAACTAAGTGATAGATGGTTGTGAGCTGTCCTATGTGTCCTAGGAATTGAACAGGGGTGCCCTGCAAGAGCAGCAAGTTCTTCTGACCACTAGGCCATCTCTCCAGCCCCTTTTATGGACTTAGAAATGTCACATAAGCCAATAAAAAGTTAGAGCCAAAAAAAGTGACTCTTACCAATTGCCCTTCACATACATGTGATGACATGCGTGCATGGGTGTGCATGCACACACACGTTCCTACATGAATAAGTATAATTTTTAAATTAATCTTAGCCCAGGGATGAGAGTCCTTTCAGGTGTCTTTTTTTTTTTTTTTTTTTTTTTTTTTTTTTTTGATTTTTCGAGACAGGGTTTCTCTGTAGCTTTTGGTTCCTGTCCTGGAACTAGCTCTTGTAGACCAGGCTGGCCTCGAACTCACAGAGATCCGCCTGCCTCTGCCTCCCGAGTGCTGGGATTAAAGGCGTGCGCCACCACCGCCCGGCACCTTTCAGGTGTCTTACATGTAGCCCTCCCTGCAGGCTTACCTGCCACCCCATTGCTGTAGTCTGAAGTGACTTCAGCAGCCTGCTCCAACTGCCACCAAAAGCAGAGACCAGAGCCAGTGCTGTGGTGGCTGGAGCAGGATGATTGCCCATAGTCTGAGACCACCCCCAGGCTACACAGCAAGATCCTGCCTCAAAAGCAAAACAAACAACAACAACCCATAGCGGGATGTGGTGGTGCATACTTTTAATCCCAGTGGGGCAGAGACAGATGAAACAAAGAGTTCAAAGCTAACCTGAGCTACAGAGTGAGTTCCAGAACAGCTGAGGCTACACAGAAGAGCTCTGTGTTTGGGTTTTTTTTTTTTTTTTTCTTTTTTCCTGTGATGGTCCTCTGGTATTGACCAACCAGCGAAAAGAGTAGGGTTGCATCAGGCTGGGGGAGGCAGTTTGATCATGTCATACTTTCCAGCTTATCCCAGTGGACCAAACTGCAGGTGCCTTCTAGGACTTGCTGAGAGCCACTGGCATCCTCACCCCCACCTTTCTGGTCCTCCCTCCCTCTGTCATCCCCCTGTGCTCTCCTGTTTTCTGTGAAGATGACTGTAGTCATGTCCAGGGTCTATCTC